TTAGTCAAAGATCAAGCGTTTACAGTACTTCAGAAGGGAGAGTACCACTAATCCACACTCCTCTAATCTCAAGAATCATAGCCTGAGGCCCAAGGGTTCCAAGTTGAAGGAAAGCCTGTGGTACATAGGAAGCTGTAGCCTGGGCTACAAAGTAAGACTGCTTCTACCCTCTACTTGGAACCTAGAATAAAAGTTTATAAGACATATCATTACAAATCTGAACTTTATTGTTAACTGTTGTAATTTCTCCTCTTTCTCTAATTTTACTACTGTGTCCTTTTCTTTGGTTATTTTGCTAACAGGTCATTGATCTGGCTTATCTCTTCAAACAAAAAACAAAGAGGGAAAAGCATAAGACAAAGGGGACTCAATGTGTAGACTAAATGTCATGTCAGCACCACCTACCCATGTCTTTCATGGATATGATGCAATCAATTCCCATGCAAAATAAAGACATTTTGTAATATCTATATTTCCTCATAACTGGGAGAATTAAGCTCAACTCCACAATATCAGCTGTATTTTCCCAGTCCTTGTACTTAAAAGCTATGAGTGAAAATACCATCTCATTTTATCAAAGTCATTATTCTAAAAAGTGAATGAGAATCTACTGCATTCTTAGTGAGCTTTTCTACTGATGCCAGTGAGCAGTGGAAGGGAATAATAGCAGGCAGGGAACTCTTGACACAGAAGCACTTATTGGTAGAGTTTCTGGAGTGTGTCTTCCACTTCCTGCACAGGCTCGATGATAAAAGCTCCCAAGGAGATTACTTCATTTCTCCACTGTGTGGTACTGGCTTCTGGAAGTGATTGACAGCATCAGGACAGCAGAAGGCCACAGAGTCAGGACCTGACACAGTGATCACTTCTGGTCCTTCTGAGTTCATGCTGAGGCTGTTAGGAGGGTCTGTTTCAGAGTTGCTCTCCTGGGGTTTGGTTCTCACACCAGGTCAAGCCATTACACCCCCCCCAAAAAAAAGAAACAACAAAAAACCAAAAACCAGATGAGGACAGCTGAGTAGAGAGACAGAACTAAGTCAGTAAAGTCTCTGAGGCACATACATGTGCACCTACTCGACACCAGCATGCAGGCAACCACACTGTAACTGTAATGCTGGGCAGTGTAGACTCTTGGAAATCACTTCAAAGCCCACCCCAACAGTGATGCACTTCCCTCAACAAGGCCACACCTCCTAATCTTGCTACTCCCTGTCAAGCATATGAAAACCACAATGACAAGCTTCCTAAAATTTCTATATACATAAAATTATTTGAATGTGCAGCCACTGATGAATGAAAGATTATCTAGGACAAATTCTCTTTCCACAGGTAAAAAAAAAAATTGATTATCTTTCCTCACTATTAATGATCAGATGATTTAACATGTAATGATTACTAACTTTGGCTTGGGACTTGGTGTCTATAATTTAGTTTGTTGTTATTTTCTGTTTTTTTTTAAATCATTGGTGATTTACAGTATGACAGATACCAAATACAAAAAACAAACTTCATTAGTTACTTTACATAAAAATTTTAATATTTATAATTTTTAGTTTTTAAAAAATACAACTCCATATTTTGATGGTTTGTATATGCTTGGCACAGGGATTGACCTATAGAAGACGTGGTGAGTGGTGAGTTGGAGTACGTGTGTCACTGTGTGTCACTGGGGGTGTGGGATTTAACACCCTCATTCTAAATGCCTGGAAGCCAGTATTCTGGTAGCAGCCTTCAGATAAAGATGTAGAACTCTTAAGCTACTTCTATATCATATCTGATTAGATGCTGCCATGTTCCTGCCCTGATGGTAATGGACTGCACCCCTGAACCTGTAAGCCAGCCCCAATTAAATGTTGGCTTTATAAGAGTAGCCTTGGCCAGGCGGTGGTGGCACACATCTTTAATCCCAGCACTTAGGAGGCAGAGGCAGGCAGATTTCTGAGTGCGAGGCCAGTCTGGTCTACAGAGTGAGTTCCAGGACAGCCCGGGCTACACACAGAAACCCTGTCTTGAAAAACCAAAAAAAGAGTAGCCTTGGTCATGGTTTCTATTCACAGTAAGTAAACCCTAAGTAAGACCCATATATAACGCATTTCAGCCATTCCCTCTCCAGCCTACCTCTTTCAGCTCCCTTAAAATCCCTTCAAATACTCTTCTTTACAAGTCTCTTTCTCACATTCACATCTTGTGACCCACAGAATTTAAACAAGGCTGTCTGTAGGATCCTGGGTTTCAATCTTTCCACTGGAGCCAAATCAATTCTGGCCTCTCTCCCATGATCTGCCAGTATCCAAAAGTTCAGTAGAATAAGGGATGGGCCCATGGAGTTCCACTATTCTTTACTGTGCTGGTGAGGAATCCACTCTTGTGCTAGTAGCTGTAGTGTTGGGAGAAAGACCATGGTTGCCTTGGCTGTGTATGACCACAATGTTGCATTTCCATTCCTTTTTCTCATCTTTTGGCTCTTGGACTTATTCTCCCCATATTCCACAATGCTCTGAGCTGCAGAAGGTGTTCTACAGGTTTCCTGTTTGGAGTTAAGTACTTGGGTGTTCCTTAGACTTATACCGTGAGAAGACATGATTCTCTGCAGTCACCACAGTTCACAGCATAGGGAGCGTCTCATCAGATGAGAGTTTGGAATCACATCTTTTTAAACAACTGTCAAAAATTCCTCTCCAGGAACTAAGGACTTCTGATATCATAAGCTGTAAAAACTGCACATAGGTAATTGTTAAGAGGATAATCATTATACAAGCTAAGGACAGGTGACTCTCCCAGAAGAAGCCTCACAATGAGAAATCAATGACCTGGATCCCCAGGAACACTTTACTAGGGCTGGAGTGATGGCTCAGCAGTTAAGAACAATCACTGCTCTTGCAAAGGTCCTGAGTTCAATTCCCAGCAACCACATGGTGGCTCACAACCATCTGTAATAGAATCTGATGCCCTCTTCTGGTGTGTCTGAAGACAACTACAGTGTACTCATACATAAAATAAATAATTCTAGAAATAGAATGAAAAAAACAGCACATCTGTAATTCAACACACACAAAGCTAACGTCAAAGTTTGTTTATTTACAGTTCTTTCTTTTACGACTCATAAGTTCAACACATCATTAAAAATTTCTCCTGTTTACTTAAATGACAGAAGTCATGATGTGCTTACTTTTTTTTTTTAAGATATTATGCCAATCAATTGAAAATAGTTGAGTCAGGCACCTTAGCTAATGTCAAAAACATTGCAGAGATTTGAAGCTACCATATCCACTTAAAGGAATACAGGACGAAGGCCTAATAAACTTGGAGAGTTTACAGAGTCACACTATGATCCAACTCTGTAGATTTCAAGCTCTCATTCACTTTTAAATCTGTAATGCTGTTCTCTTCAAAAGGCAAAAGCATAGCTCAAGGATTGTCACTCCTGAAGTAGAAAATCCCAGCTTCCTATTGACACACAGATATTCCAAGGAGATAAAAGTTTTGACAGCATTTTGCTGACTAAGGAGACAGTCATGCACAAGAACAGAAACATGGAATTCTACACCTGGGACCAGAGGAGATCAAGAATTTCAATCAGTGAACTCCTGTCTGATTCTGTGTGGGGCTGTGGAATCCTGCGTGTTTGGCCACGCCCCCAGAACCCTGAGACCTAACATACCTAAAGCCCTGCCCTTGTCCCCCGCTTCCAATATAAGAAAACCCCTTCCGACATTTTTTTCGGAGAGCTTTGTCACCATCTGAACCCACCATCATGCCAAAATCTGTCCACGTGCCTCTTTTAACTCTGGACTCCTTGTGTAAGTCAAGACTCATATGTGCCCCTGCCTGCGCGGGGCAGGGGAGGGAGAAAAGCCTTTTCCGCCCGTCCTGTGCTCTCTGCACTCCAGTGGGCCACGGGACACTTTCTCCTGACAACAGGCTCGTGCACTGCCTCCCCAGGCCGCTGGCCTGTGTCCGATCCCTCATGCCTGGCGTCTCTGCTCCTGAGACCCTGAGGTTGCCATGGCAGTGTGGGCGGGTGAGACCGAATAGTCACCACAGAATGCTGAGAGCCGGGGGTCCCAGGATGGCACTTGGTTCATTGGTTCGTCCCGTGGGCTCGTGCCCACCCGGCCACCCACGCCCCCACGCCCACATTGCCCAACAATCCTGTACTAACTAAGATTGAAGAGAAAACCACAGCTGTGTAGCTACAGGACATCCCCAGCAGCACAGACTGAGCCTGTGGTAGCAGTGAACTTGACACAGGTTAGGACAGGAACTGCTGCTAAGAATTCTGCATCAGCTACAATTGCTGCTTGTGTCTCTCCATCCCTCTGACTCTCAGTTCCTTTGTATCTCTTAGGATTTACCAGTTCACAAATCCACAGAAAGAGCAGATTTCTTGCTCTTGAGAGGACAGTCTGTGAGGAGGAAATCTGTGGCTGGCCTCCTCATCTATTTCCCGTCCATGTTTTACTGATCAGAAACTGGTAGGAAAACTGCAAGTTGTATTAGAAAGAGAGCAGGCCACACCGAGGAAGAGAAGTACTCTCTCCATACATGTTTGCTTATCAGCAATAAAAATGAAAATTTGCAGCATTATTATTCTTAATCATTATCATTTTTATTTTTTTAAACATCCATAAAAGATTTCACATATCAGCATATTTTCTTCTAAGCTGTATATTAAATTCATAGCAATGAAAACAATAGTAGAAAGTGAAGTTATTGCAAGATTAAATCAATTCACATTAATTTTATTAAAAATTGTGTTTTCATTTTAAAAGGCTTAGACTAAAGGGAGATTTCCTATTCTGAAATATGTGTTTGTTTCATGGCAGGGCATAGATCCTCATAGGACATTTTATACACTCACACACATACACACACACACACACACAGACACACACACACACCAAAGAAATACTTTTCATGCATACAGACCAATCTCGTTCAAATAGTGACTTAATCTGGTATATGGGCTGTTTTAATTTTCAATGAATGGCAAATTGGACTAAATTTGTAAGAGATTTTTTTATTGTCATTTAAATACATAGAGACAGGAAGTTAAGTACACAGGACAAAAAAGTAATATTCTCAATGAATTTTCTCATGAGAGGTTGCAGACCAACTAGAAACAGTGTTGCAGAATGTCATGAACCACCCAGTAAGTGTGAGTGCTGTAACTGAGCCAGTGTCCTCTGGAGAAGCAGTAGTTGCTGTTTGTCTCCGAGCCACCACTCCAGAATAATAGACGATACATTGAATAGAAGAAGATTCCCTTGAAATAATGTAAAATATTGTTATTTTTAGATGCATGTCCCAACACTGCTTAGATTCACAGCAAGAATTGTGCTCTGGGCCCTCTCAAGTTTTCATTTAGTGATGCAGAATAGGTAAATGAGTACTTTTAATTTCTAGATGACTTAGAGATCTTACTAGGTTTGTTTTTATAATTTAGTTGGAAAAACTATCTGTCATTCATATACGATGAAACTGTTTATCCCTTGTTCTTCAGGAAACAGTGCTTGAATATACTGTTGCTAATACAACTTTGGTATCAATCTTGAAATAAGTCATTTGTACATAGATTTCTTCTTGCAGTACTTTCACTATGTTAATAATGTCAATCTTTCTCTCAATATTTCTTTGTCAAAAGATGTCTTATTGTTTTTGTTGGTAAATCTCATTAGTTGATTTTCAAATTATTTTTATTAGGTTCACCTGAAGAACCAATGGGTTCCCATGGAAGTTGCTTCCACATTCTTTCTCCCCCACCTCTTCAATTACTTTCTGATTCCTTCGTCTCAAAACAAAAGGCCAAGTATATTCTGCACAGCTGAGGTTTGGATGTTTCCAGATACTCATAGTTGTGCCCTAACTCATTCCTTCAACAAAACATTCTTCTCAAACATGCCTACAAGTGGTCACGGCCTCCTTTTATTCATCTGGTACTAAAACCGCATACGGGATCAGTCTCTCTGCAGCATCTCATCTGACTGGTCTGGTTTGTTTGTTGCTGGCTTCTGCCAGGCAACAAGTTTGACTCCAAATTCTACAGTGTCACTCTTCTCCCCCTGTTCTAATAATTCATTTCTGGTCATCTATTTTTGTAAGCACCTCACTGGTTAAGGAAGCCTGCTTCACCTCTTGGAAAAACATCAAACATCTCTCTCTGGCTTGTCGATCCTGCCACACCCTCTAGGGTCCTGAACAAAGGGACAAGTAAGACAGTTACTTGTCTCGCTGTGTTGGAAACCTCTTCTTCCACAGAAGTGTCTTCCAGTCCATCTTTTTAATTGAGTTCTCCTCTACTTGCTGTGACTGCTGGTCTCTTCTCCTCTAGTGTTAAGTATCGATTCAGAACTTCCTATTCTCCTTACTAGTACTACCAAAGCCACACTGGCATACCAGGAACCCTTGTAGTCCTGCCCATTTAACATGAATAGAGACGACACTCCTCTGTGACTTGTGACACTTCTCTCCTACAAGTCTCTTACTCTTCTTGGGGCTGCCCTAGATATAAATTCTAGACATCATGTCACTTATATTTCTCAAATCTTTTTCTCAGCTAATTCATAGAGCTTTGACTTCCTTCCTTCTAGGAGCTGCAGCCCTACAGCTTCCTTCTGCCCTCTTGGACAAGTGACTATTTCCTTGCCTCTTCCTCCTCTTCCTCAGAGTTACCTGATTCATCTTCACCTGGGCCTAAGGATTGCAACCCTGTGCTCCACAACTCTTGCTACAAATCGTTTGCTATGGGACATATTTTCTCAGTGCCCTCCTAGACTTCTAGGATACGTGAATCATCACTGGGTTGGAGGTCATTTATTTTTCTAAACTGTTCCCTCTAAGCTCCATTTAGAAGCCAAGAGATTCCTTAGATGACCTTAAACTTTATTTCTACCCTTACCTCATCCACTTCTCACAGGTGTTTTGTCTCTTCCTTTATGCCCTTGTGGTCAAGGTATGACTATCTCTTCCTCCTCGGAATCAGAAGATCCTAAAACCTCACTTTCTTTGATAAAACACTTGGCCTAATCACAGCTCACTTAAAGGCTCTGGACTCCATACTCGGTTTTCACATTATCTCCCTTTAAGGAAGCCACTCCTGTACCTGCAAAAACAAATGATGCTCAGATCTCTCATATCTAAACTTTATCTGCTCTAAGTTTTAAAGCCTTTCATCTCTAAGGTTTTACCCATTTCCATTCTTTTTATTCTTATCTAATACAATCCATTTTAACTGGTGCTATCCCTGCTTCTAGCACTTTTCACTCCTGCCCAACTCACCTTTTCCCAACCATGACTGTCTTATGTCTTCCTCAGGAAAAAGTAGGTCTAACAGACACATTAATGAAACACCAAGATTAGCTAAATGGAGAACATGCACAAACATTCATTTCAAGCCTTGAAGAGGTCAACTAATAGGAGGGCAGGAGTCCTAGGAGCAGGTAAAAGAGTACAAGAAAACTTCACTCCTACCCTCAGTATTCCTCAACATCCCCTAGAAAGAAAACCACCAGCCAACAATCATAGCATATATGCAGTCTACCTAGTGTAGACCCATACAGGCTCGAAGATTGTGCTTCAGTATCTGGGAAACCCCAGTAATCCAGGTAAGATAATTCTGTTGCCTGTGCTCTCCTTGTGTCTTTGACACCTCTGGTTTCCACAATTCCTTCTCCTCCTCTTCTCTGAGTTTCTCCAAGCTCTTAGGTAAGAAAAGCCATAGAGACTGCAAATCAGGCTTCTCTATGCCTAGTGTTTAGGTGTGGGTCATTTATACTACTCCCATGCCCTGCTGAAGGCAGACTTTTTCACCACAGTTGGTATAGTCACCAAACTATGAATAGAGCAGAACATCATTATTGAAGCTGATTTTTGTTGTGGGAGAGGGCAGTTATATTTGGTTCTATTGTATCATTCTGGCTTATCTTGCTTCTAGTTTCTGGTCAACCAGTCAGTGTCAGTTACAGCCTCCTTCTTCTTTCATGTGCCTCCAATTAAACCAGTCACTAATTGGCTACCACCACAAGTGTGCTACTATTGACCCAGCACATCTTGCAAGGAGGAAACATTATAGGCTGAAGGTTTTATTCCAGGATTGTCTTCCCCTCCCTTCACTTATCCATAAATTTCCCAACCTACCATGGCTACAAGATTCACTCCTCTCCCATCCCCTTCAAAAAAATAGCAAGCCTCTTCTGGATACCCACTGAACAAGACATAATATGTGAAAATACTAATAGGCATAATTACTCATATCAAAGCTAGGCAAGGTAATTAAGTAGGAGGAAAACCATGGGGAGATTAGCCAAAGAGTCAGTCTCTCTCTCTCTCTCTCTCTCTCTCTCTCTCTCTCTCTCTCTCCCCCTCTCTCTCTCTCTCTCTGACCTATATTGTCAGCCGATAATATCAAACAACATCAGCCAATAGTACAAAACCAAAAACAACAACCAAAAAAAGCCGGGTATGTTGGCCCTCATGTATTACTTTGGAGACAGACTCAGATGGATCTCAAATTTAGAGGTTTGTACGTATCCACCCTATTTGCACGACAGCCAAAGCTATAGAGAAAATCATTGTCTTCTAAAACAAACACAAAAAGAACAAAACTAAAAATTGTAAAACATTGAGCTAACAAAAATTTAACCATAATGTTATTATGCACTATACTAAGGCTATCATTGTGTTATTTAAACACTGATTTCTGTGCTTCCATTTCTGGTTGTAATCATTATTTAAGCATTTCCTGACTCAATGTTTTATAAGTATTGTTCCACATTAATTCTCTGATTTGTCAATAAACGTTAATAAGCCACTGACAGAGTAGGTGAGAGAATAAGCAGAACTTCCTCTCAGCCATGGCATGGGGAAAGAAAATGGGAGAGGGGATTCAGTATAAGGAGGGTCCATAAGACCTCGTGAGAAAACACTTCAAGCCTAGAGAGTCAGATCAGTACTAAAATGCAAGCATCACTAGGAATTTGACTAGGGAGTAGCGAGATTAGCTTAGAGGATGAAAATAAAGGAATATAGTTCATTTAGTTTGCACTCAAAGCTTGATAAATGAAAATAATACTCCAGTTTAAATTTTGTGACTAAGTATTTCAGGCTCCTTGAATAGATCTTCAGAGGTTCAGCTGATCCCAAATCAGCTACAGTGAAAAAAAAAAAAGAAAGAAAGAAAGAAAGAAAGAAACAAAGAAACAAAGAAAAAAGAAAGAAAGAAAAAGAAAGAAGAAAGAAAAAAGAAAGAAAGAAATCCCTGCTGAGTCAAAAACAAGTGGCCCTTCAATACAAGCCAGCTTCCCAGACTGGACAGTTTCCTAGCTAGGCATGAGGCTACATTCCTTTGAGGAGGGGCTCATGCTGGCCTGACTCACACTAGACAAAAGAGCAAAAACATCTGTGATACCAACAACTTCCCAGAGAAGGGCAGGGTCAGATCTATTGAAGCATCTATGGGTAATGAGATGGAAAAGAATATTCCATTGAAGTGGACTTAGCTGGTATAGCTATTTTACCATCTGACAAAATAGACATCAAATGAAAATTAATTTAAAGCAATGCAGGACATTACATGTTCATTAAGAAAAAAAAATCCAAATGGAGGATGTTTCAATACTTATATGTATGTACAAAACATACGAGCACCATAGTTAGAAACACGCATTGACCCTCATGTATTGATAATGGGAGATTTCAATATCTCATGACCACCAAAGGACAGGCCCTACAGACTGAAAGTAATCAGAGAAATGCTACAACTGACTGATGTGAAAAAACAAAGAAACCTCACAGATATTTACAGAACATCCCATCCAAAAACAAAGGAATATACGTTGTTTTCTCAGCACCTCCCAAACTGACCAAATCATTGAATACAAAACAAGTCTCCATAGATACCACAAAATCTGAATAACTACCCTGCATTATCAGCCAGTCATGATAAAAGCTGCACATCAATAATAGAAACAACCGAAGGTGGCTTACAGACCCTTTGAAGCTGAACAACTTTCTACTATACTCATAATATAAAATACGTTAGAAGAACTCTAAAGAAGCAAGTGAAAGACCTATATGATGGAAAAATGACAAACCTTTGAAGAAAGAAATGGAAGAATATATCAGAAGATGGAAAGATCGCTCAAGCTCATAGATCAGTAGGATTAACAGAGTGAAAATGGCGATCTTACCAAAAGCAAACTACAGATTCACCACAATCCCCAACAAATTCCCAAAAGAATAGTTTACAGACCTTGAAAGGACAATTCCAGCTTTGTGTGGAAGAACAAAATCCCAGGAGATTTAAAACAATTCTGAACAATAAGAGAATTGCATGGCATTTGGATAAAAACAGACACAGTGATCTATGGAATAGAACTGAAGGTGCAGAAATAATCCCAACAACATACGGGCACCTAATTTTTAATAAGAAGCCCAGAATCACACAATGGGAATAAAGACAGCATCTTCAATAATGAAGCTTGTTACATTTTATCTTTGCATAGAGAAGACAGCAGATAGGTCCATATTCATCAGCTTGTACAAAACTCAAGTTCAAGTGACTCAAAGACCTCAACATAATAAATCCAGTCAAACTGAAACTGACAGAAGAGAAAGTGCATAAAAGCCTAAATACACAGGTATAGGAGACATCCTTCTGAATGAAATGCCAATAGTACAAACACTAAGATCAATACTCTTTTGGTTGGGAGCCTAGCCTTTAATGGCTGAGCCATCTCTCCAGCCCTATCGATACTTTCTAAATACAACATCATGAAAGTGGTACACTGCCAGGGACCACCGCAGTTGGGTATGGGAGTCCCTGGGATGAGGGTCCTCGAAGGCTAGGTGGGTTTTCATTTCAGTCTGTAGAACTTGCCACACAGATTGTAGTGGGGTTGGTGTGGCAGTACACTTTTGTAAGGTGAAAAAAAGACACTCAGGCTGGAGAGATGGCTCAGTGGTTAAGAGCACTGACTGCTCTTCCAGAGGTCCTGAGTTCAATTCCCAGCAACCACATGGTGGCTCACAACCATCTGTAATAGGACCTGATGCCCTCTTCTGGTGTGTCTGAAGAGAGCAACAGTGTACTCACATACATAAAATAAATAAATCTTAAAAAAAAAAAGAAAAGAAAAAGAAAAAAAGACACTTAGAGAAAGAGACAATACAAGGAATGGGAAAGGTGTTTTATGAACTTTATTACTGATAGAGGCCTTATATAAAAATACATAATATTATATGCCTGTGTGTGTGTATGCATATTTATATATAGTATATGTATGCTTTATATACAAATTATGAAGAACTCAACAAACAAGATCTTGAAAAAATTCACTTAAAAAATGGGTTTCAGATACAGAGACTTTTCAACAAAGGAATCTCAAATGGGTCAGGGACACTTAAAGAAATTTTCAACAACCTTAACACAGAAAAAAATAAATCAATAAAAACTACTTTGAGATTCAATCTTACACACGTCAGAATGGTTAAGATCAATAATATATATGGCAGCTCATGCTGGCAAGGATCTGGATAACGGAAACATCCCTTCATTTCCTGAATGAGTGAAAACGAATACAGCCACGACGGAAAACAATATCATGTTTCCTCAGAAAAGTAGGAGTTCATTTATTTGAAGAACCAGCTGGCTGGGCGGTGGTGGTGCACGCCTTTGATCCCAGCACTTGGGAGGCAGAGGCAGGCGGATTTCTGAGTTCGAGGCCAGCCTGGTCTACAGAGTGAGTTCCAGGACAGCAAGGACTACACAGAGAAACCCTGTCTCGAAAAACCATGTCAAAAGTATCCCCCCTCCAGGAAAAAGACATTGGGATGGGTATGGCCCTCATGCCTCACTGGACAATGACAGGAGGACCGGAGCCATTACAAGATCCCCTTCAATTATTGGAGGTCAGGCCTCTATTCCCACCTTCTCAAGATAAGAATCACCACAACCCTTCTATACTTAAAGAAGGGAGGAGATGTCAGGGGCAGCCCTGCTTATACACTTAGTCCTAAATTCAGCCATCGGCCTAAAATCAGCAATAGGCCTGACATACATACATGCTAACACCAAGTCTTGGGTCTCTATGGAAAAACACTGAAACAAATGGCCATAAGCTAGTGGTGGTGCACGCCTTTAATCCCACCACTTGGGAGGCAGAGGCAGGCAGATTTCTGAGTTTGAGGCCAGCCTGGTCTACAGAGTGAGTTCCAGGACAGCCAGGGCTACTACACAGAGAAACCCTGTCTCGAAAAACAAACAAAACAAAAAAGGCCATAAGCTATTGCAAACAGGCAGCTTTTGTGGAAATTTACAATCCTGAGTAGTCATAGACCTTGTAAATAGGTAGGTAACCTTGGCGGACAGTACCAACTTAGATAAGGACAAGTGAATCATAGGCAGAGTCATAGTGACCTGTCCCCTGAACCTTCACCCAGCCGATACCCTGTTCTGAAAGATATCTGTACTCCCCCGAACACCTATGCTCCAGTGTCAGCACCTTCCCCACATCCTGCCTTTTTGTCTTTATAACCCCTGTGTGAATATGTAAAAATTACCATTTGATTTAAAGTAATAAATAATTAGTTTAAAAAATTGACATCATAAAACTTACAGGCAATTGGATACAACAAGAAAAAAAAAATCAGACAAAGTGAGGTAACCCAGGTGCGGAATGACAAATACAGTATGAATTCAATTCTAAGTGGATATTAGCTATTAGCTAAAGGATAATCAATGCAGACAGAAGCATAACATGGCTGACCTCTGAGAGGCCCAAAGAGCAGCTGATTGAGACAGATACATGTACTTACACCCAACCATTAGAATGAAGTCAGGGAGCCCTGTGGTTGAATTAGGGAAAGACTGGAAGAAGCTGAGGAGGAGGAGGGCATCCCTATAGGAAGATCAATACTCTCAAATAACCTGAAACCCTGAGATCTCTCAGACACTGAGCTACCCACCAGGCAACATACATGAGCTGGTCCGAGACCCTTGGCAGATATACAGCAAAGGACAGCCTGAACTGGCCTCAGTGGGAGAAGAGGCACCGAAGCCTCCAGATACTTGAGGCCCCAAGGAGTCAGGAGGTCTTACCAAAGGAAGGGGGAGAAGATCCTCTTGAAGACAGAGTAGAGAGGGAATGGGATGAGGAACTGTAGGAAGATGGCAATGACTGGACTGTAAAAAAATAAAAGTGACAATAGTAAATAATAATAATAATAATAATAACTCACAATCCACAGGAAAAAAGAGGTTAGGTAAAAGAAAGAAGGAGAACTTCTACATTTGATAAGCAACCTCAGCAAAGTGGCTGGATATAAAATTAAATCAAACAAATCGGTAGCCTTCCTCTACACAAAGGATAAATAGACTGAAATAAGGAAATTAGGGAAACAACACCCTTCACGGTCATCATAAATATTGAAAATATCTTGGTGTGACTCTAACCAAGTAAGAGAGATGTGTTCGACAAGAACTTCAAGTCTCTGAAGAAAGAAATCAAAGGGGAGAATTTGATGAACAGAATGCCAATGGCTGAGGATCTAATGTCAACTATAGACAATCAGGAAATCATAAAATTGAAAAGCTTCTGAAAGGCAAAGGACACTGTCAATAGGACAAAATGGCAACCAATTAACTGATTGGAAAAGATCTTTACCAAACCTACATTCGATAAAGGGATAGTATCCAGAATATACAAAGAACTCAAAAAGTTAGACTCCAAAGAACCAAATAACCCTATTTAAAAAAAGTGGTGCACAGAGGTAAACAAAGAATTCTCAACTGAGGAATCTCAAATGATCAAGAAAAACCTAGAGAAATGGTCAACATCCTTAGTCATCAGAGAAATACAAATCAAATCAACCCTGAGAGTCCACCTCACAACAGTCAGAATGGCTAAGATCAAAAACTCAGGTGACAGCAGATGCTGCAGAGAATGTGGAGAAAGAGTGTCAGGAGCCAGCATCATAGGATAAGCTAAGAACTAGCAGGTGATCTTCCTGAGATGGTCTGCTTTGAATTATAACTGGAGACTTATTTGCTTTCATAGGCAAGACCCAAAAGAATTTATTTTAGGAAAGATTCCTGCTATTAATATGCTTTTCCCATTATTATTAAACATACTTAACAATCACTAGGTATTAGCCCACTCCTTTGGAATGGATCTTTGCAGATCTACGAAGATGTACTGTCTTGTAGTGATTTTGTAGTGATGCAATATAAACAAATAGATGACTCAGTCTTATTGATGATCCTATAAGAAATCCCAAAATTATGTTGGTGATTATTAAGCTCTTTTATAGTGGGACTGCTATGAGATCCTTTTCTGATAGTCAAAACTGCAATGTGAACTCTGCCAGTCTCCCAAGTGTCAACAGTTAATTGCTCTTAGATAGAAACCAGACTTTCTCCTACTCAGAGCACATTCCAAGAGGTTGTAAAACAATTAACCAAAGGTCATAAAAAGGGAACTAATGATTTATTATAGGACAGAATATAAAATAGTGACTGGGTTTATCTATACAAAACTTCACTAATAACTTAGTTATGGTTTTCAATCTTCAGTGAACTTGTGGAGCTGTGACAGGTGAAGGATGTTTAGCAAGATAATTACTCCTAATGGATATGCATGTAAACATTCTCTGTTTTAAAATTCTATTTCAATTTATGATTTGATTTTTGTGAGAACTTGTGATGAACTTTTTAACATGTGATCATGTATTCTGAAAGACGTTTAAGTGCTGAGGGCAAAGAGAAGAGTCAGAGGAACTGAGCTGAGAAGAACTTTTTTGGAGAGAACACTTCTTAGACAAAGAGGAAAAGCTAAGAAAAATTTTCCCTTGACCCACTTAGGGCCTTCCCACTTTCCCCTTTTCTTAGATAGCTTTTATAGGAAACTTTTTACAATGTAGTGATAAACACTATAATCACTTTGCAAAGTGTCCCCTTTTCTTCCTGTGACTTCTGACTAGCAGGCAGAAAGGCTGTGCAGTTCCTGCTGACATAGAACAAAGGCCACAATAGTTAATCCCCCGAGGGTAGGCTACAGGTGTCAATCTCCTGAGTAAGCAACTCTTTACCCTCTGAAAGAGCAAGAAAGTATTTAGGACTTTTTAAGAAGTTATTATCAGCATTTTCCTAAAGTTAGAGAGGTAGAACATCTGGAGACCCTCAGACTTTGAAGCCACACCAGAGTAGTACTCTGAGTCCTGCCACTACACTCTCCAGGCTAGGAGGCTCCGAGAATAAGAGGAACACTCTTCCATTGTTGGTGGGATTACAAGCTGCTACAACCATTCTGGAAATCAGTCTGGAGGTACCTCAGAAAACTGGAAATAGTTCTACTGAAGGACCCAGCTGTACCACTTCAGGGCATATATCCAAAAGATGCTTCAACATCTAAGAAGGACACATGCTACACTATGTTCACAGCAGCCTTACTTATAATAGCCAGAAGCTGGAAAGAACCCAGATGTCCTTCAACAGAGGAATGGATACAAAAAATGTGGTACGTTTACACAATGGACTACTACTACTCAGCTATAAAAAACAATGACTTCATGAAATTCTTAGGCAACTGGATGGAACTATAAAACATTATCCTGAGAGAGGAAACCAGTCACAGGACACAAATAGTCCTTACTCACTGATAAGTAGCTATTAGCCAAAAAGCTGGGAATACTCAGGATGGTACTCACAAACTGTATGAAACCCAGGAAGAAGAAAGACCAAAGTGTGGATGCTTCAGTCCTACTCAGAAGTAGGAACAAGATAATCACTGGATGCAGAGAGCGGGAGGAATAGAGAAAGGGAGGGAAAAAAGGTGGCTGAATTAGGTGTGGGAGAAATAGGATAGAAGTACAGAGGGGCAGGAAATTGAACAAGAGAGGTGTGTAGCAGTGGGGTGTGCTACTGGGTATAGTCACTAGAATGTCCTAAACGCCAGGGATGCAAGAGGTCCTGGGACCCAGTGGGGATGACATTAGCCAAATAGCCAACAAAGGGGAGATTGGTCCAGTAGAGTCCATATCCAGTGGTAGGCATGGCCCCCGGTTGAGTAATGGGGCTACCCACCAATCTCAAAAGTATTAACCAAGAATTGCTCCTGTTTAAAGGAACTACAGGGACAAAGAGTGGAGAAGAGATTGAAGGAAATGCCATCCAGAGACTTCCCCACCTAGGGATCCATCCCATATGCAACCACCAAACCAAGACACTATTGCTCATGCCAAGAAGTGCTTTCTGACAGGAGCCTCACATAGCTGTTCCCAGAGAAGTTGTAACAGAGCTTGACCAATACAGATGTAGATGTTCATAGTCAATACCAATGGAGGAGTTGGGGGAAGGAATGAAGGAGCTGAAGGGGTTTGTGACTCCATAGGAAGAACAACAATATCAACTAATCAGACCTCTCCAAGAGCTCCCAGGGATGAAACCACCAACCAAAGAAAGAGTACACATGGAAGGTCCCATGGCTCCAGCTGGATACATAGCAGAGAACTGACATTTGTGGAATAAATGGGAAGGGAGAACCTTGGTCCTATGGAGGCCCAATGGTCCAGTATCAGGGAAGGCTAGGGCAGTGAGGTGGAAGTGGATGGGTGGGGTGCACCTTCATAGAAGCATGTATGCGGTGTATGGGTTAGAGGGGTTACAGAGGGGAAACTAGAAAGAGGGATAACACTTAAAATGTAAATCAGTAAAATAAACAACATTTTTAAAAAAAGTATTATTGTGGAGGGAATGACATTGATCTCCCTGGAAACAAGAAAGAGAACAGATTCTGTGGCTGGACTTGGATTGAGGGGGACAGCAATGGGAGGGATCAGTTGAAGGTGGAGAGAGGAGTTCAGGGAGAATCTGCTGGAATTCAAGAGAATCCGGGGATTCATGTAGAAACCTAGTACACTCGCAACTTCATAGAATGTATTAGTATGACACTAGCGGAGATTCATAATAATGGAAGATATGGAATCTGAAGTGGCGATCCCTGTAGACCTGCAGGGCTCCTATGGTGAGACTGGGTTACATTCATGTGATTTGTTGGCCAACGTGGTCCTGTGGAGTTTCCTAAGATAACCCACGCGGACACTAGGACATAATTAGCATTCATTAAAACTTACAGCAGGGCCTCATTGCTGAGAACAACTTCCACACAGCTCACTAAATATAGAGAGATCTAGGAGGTACAGGCTTGGACCTTCACCTTTTTTGCTAAAAAGCTGAAGTCCCTGGTGTTCTAGGATCCACATGTCTTGCCCATGAGAAATCACTCCATATACAATCAGATGATGAATTAACAGAAACAATTCTTCAAAACTAGGGTGAATGTAGCACTGGTTAATGCTCAAGAGGAGCCAATAAGAACAGATTTTGCATTCAACAGATGCTGTCACCCTTCTCAGTGAAGGAAATAAAATAACTTCATTCAATTCAAA